TTAGAAATTAATAAATTAATAAATTATATTAAAAAGTAAATATTAAAAATAAATATATTCTTTTTTAATTATTTATATAATATATTAAATTTTGGTTTTTCTTTTTATTAATATAAAATTGTTGCTGAAATATTATCATTTGCGATATAAAATATCGGAATATTCTAAAAAGAATGTTCTAAAAAGAAATTACTTAAACTTTGTCAAAACACTCACGAACATATCATATGTCTTCAACGAAAATCTTCTTCATTGACGTCGTTTCCTGCCTTCTTTTCTTTCTCTTTCTCTCTTTCCCTCTTCCTCTCAGCAATTTATCTGAACAAGCGCGCGCCGATTTTTCGTCCTAAGTCGCGTCGCGAGAATTTCCCTCGGTTTCTCAACTTTTATCCTCGCGCGGATCGCCGCGATCCACGGGGCCCACTTTTCACCATGAATTCTCACGATATCGTGCTCGGAAAGTAGCGAAAACGTGTTCGAGGATTTCTTTCCCTTCCGCCTCGCTGCGCCTCTCGATGCTTCGAGAGGATCATCGGCCGGCTCGCTTTTGCACAGTCCACCATGCACGGAGAATAAAACTGTCATCTCGAAAGTTGGCCTACTATCTCCCCGATCACGATAATAGCTCCCGCAGCCGCGAGACGTGTCTTCTTTCTCTCTTCGCAACGACGCCGGTCTCTAATGCTTCACGGAAAAACGAACTTGCCACGGATCTTCCGCGATCACATCTATTTACCCGGAACAAGTTCAGAAAGAAAGAAGAAAAACAGAGAATAAGTTGAAAATCAAGAAAATGAGAAAATAACCGATAAAATGTAACAGTGAAGAATCACCAGAGGAAGTTTTGAGAAAGGTTTATTTCTCAAAGAAGAATAACTCTTTCGTTTTAATGAGGATTTTTATTAATTGTAAAAAATTATAATAATCCACCAATGATTTTTGTATGTTATTGATTTTTGAGCATTTATAAGTTCGGAAGACTTTTTATTAGGAGGATTATTGAAATCAAAGATTTATATAATATAAAGAACTTTATATATTTTTAAAGACCCTACAAAAATAATTCTTTTAAGATTTCTTGTATCATTATCATGTTATCACTGTCAGAGAGTATTTTCGTAAATAGGATAAATTATATTTTCTTTCGCCTTTTTATCGAAAGAATTATTTTTCTAGGGTCTTTAAAAATATATAAAATTCTTTATATTGCATAAATTTTTGGTTTAATATATAAAATAATCTTTATAATAAAAAATCCTCTGAACTTATAAATGCTCAAAAATTAATAACATACAAAAATAATTGGTGGCTTAATTTTTATGATTAATAAAAATCTTCATTAAAACGAAAGAGTTATTCTTCTTTGAGAAATAAACTTTTCTCAAAACTAATAATTATCTCAGACAACTTTCGCTCTTTCCGCCCTTACAGAGGCCTTTCGTTTCCACAACTTGGCCGTTTGTGCAATCGATCAGTCGATAGCAAAGAAAGAAAAAACTGCTTGCTGCACGTCCCAAATATAAAAAATAATAATCGAATCTCATGTGAAATCAATTTTTTTTCTTACATATCATCAAAAATATACGTATACATATTTTGTTAAAATAAAATATTTTATTTTTTTAAAACATTTTCACAAATCGTTGATTTTCCCTTTAAATTTTCAATTGTTAAGATAGAAATTAAAAAACATGATAATCTTGTGCCAATTCAAGCGAAACAACAGTAAGATGTATTATATATATATTAATTACGAGTGAGATTATTGGATTTCAGAAACAGATGGGATAATCGAGTTCTTAACAAGTTTACTGAATTGCTCGAGTTTAATTACATAAGATTGTTACCCATCCAACAAAATATCTTGATTATTTGTCTCAATATTTGTTCTAGCAAAATATTTCTATTTATTTATTTTTCTTAAATAAAATAAATAGATAGAAAATAAAATAAAAAATAAAAATATATAAAATAAATGAAATATGTAAAAATAAAATATAACATTTTATCATTTATTTATTTTTGCTGTCTATTTATATGTAAGAAAAGCGCTTTTATTTAATGAATGGTGCTATAGTAAATGATGTCTTATCGTCAAATTTTTAATACGCGGTAGAAAATTTCGGCTTGCAAAATATATATTTATTTAAACATATATATTATAATTTCTGGAAAGTAAAATGTATAATAACAATTGCATTATCATGTGTAATCATGAATCATAAATCTTTGGACTTCTATTATATATTGTTTCTATTGTATATAAAAGTGAAGAAAAATGTTGAAAATACAAAATTATACCAGTGTTTTAATTATAGTATATTATGTATTTCAAATTAAAAAAACGCTCATAAATTCTTTTAGCAAGTCTTTGCAGAAATTTGCGTATAATTGACATACTGCCGCATAATTAAAATGACTAATTTCGTTGCAGATGTAAATTATACCGTACTAAATTGAGTTTTCATAGCCATAATTGTATACATAACATTTTAAGGAGAAAACTGTTCGTTTAATCACGTTTATCAAAGTTATGAACAGATTTGGATTTATTGCGCAACATTACGTCAACGATCGAACAATTTAACGTAATATGGAAATTACCAAAGTTATTCTGAGTCAATCTCGGAACCATCCCATGTCATTTCTCCAAGCAATCGCGTCGACAAGCAAATGCAAATGCGTGCAAGTCGTGCCATGTGGCACCTGCCGCATACTTGGAATAAGCACGACCTTGACACACTTGATTTAGAAGCATATCTTCAATTTCAAACTGCCGACTAATTTGCAACTTGACAATGAAAGATCGCCCACTGATATTTTGTAATTATCTAGAACATTTGGGAAGGTTTGGGCCATGTTATATTATGTTTCAATATCATCAAATAAAATAAATAATTTAAAATATTTTAAATTTATATTTCAAGAACATTTTTAAAATATAAAGTAAATTAATGACCGAAATGTATTTCAATTATTATCAAATTTTAATCCAAATAAAATTTGATTCTAGATATATTTGTAAATATGTCGAGAAAAAAAATTCTTAATATCCACAAAACATACCTAAAAAATCTTAGAAAAAATCTTAGAAGATCCATAAGAGATATTAAGAATGTTTAAACGTTTGTGTATCGATATCCTTATCAAATTTTGCCACTTGGATATTATTAGAAATATTCTTGCATAATCAGATGTAATTTTGACAATACGAGAGTGGTTAAAAAGTCCGTGCAAAAATAAAAACTACTTAATTTTTCAGGATAAATCTTTTTTATTTTTCAACGTAATCTTTTTTTAGGCTTATACACTTTGTCCAATGCTGTTCCAGTTTGTCCCTTCCGAATAATAGAATTAGTCCAACTGTACAAAATAAGCATTCGTTTCCGCTCATTTCAAAATTTCTTTCCCGCTAGCCATTTTTTCATATTAGGAAACAAATAGTAGTCCGAAGGAGCCAAATCTGAAGAATAAAACGAGTTGGAATCGTAAGTTCATCAATTTTGCAATCACAACTCCAGAGAAGTGAGTTGGTACGTTGTCATAATGGAAAAGGACTTTGTGGGTCCATTGTGAACATTTTTCTTCGGTTTTCAAACGGTCCAATAACAATGAGTATGCACCTATAATAGTTTTATTTTTTTCCATAATCAATGAGAATTATTCCTTGCGAATCCCAAAAGATAGTTGCCATAATCTTCCCGACCGAAGGAATGGTCTTCGCCTTCTTTGATGCAGATTCCCCGCTGACAATTGTCCATTGTTTAGACTGTTCCTTGGTCTCAGGCGTGTAGTGGTGTATCTATGTTTCCACCGTGACGAAACAACGTCTAAAGTCCTGTGGATTCCGCTAAAACAGCTGCAAACATTCCTTGGAACACCTCACACGATTTCGTTTTTGGTCAATGGTGAGCAATCGCGGCACCCATTTTGCAGATAACTTTTTCATACACAAATGTTGTTGCAAAATATTAATTAAAATATTATGTACTTGTTCATTCGAGATGTCCACAGCACTATGCAATCTCACGCACCTTGATTCTTCTTCTATCATCCATCATATCATGTATTTTATCAATGATTTCTGGAGTATCCTCAACAAAGTGTTCAGAACATTCAACGTCACTTGTGCTTATATGGCCACTCCAAAACATTTGGAATTCGTAAATTGTTCTAATCAAAGGTGCAGTTTTACCATAATGTTTATCAAATTTTTTTTAGTCTCCTGAGGCGATTTGCTTTTCATAAAATAATGTTTGATAATGTTAAAATAATGTTTCAACACACGAAATTTTCTTCCATTCATTTTTTGGAAATCACTCGACTTCCTCGATTCAGACGAACGCCAAACACAGAAAAATAGATCAATCTGGCTGAAACTTGGTGTATGTTCTTCCAAGAGATGTTACTAACTGAAAATAACCTTGATGCACACCGATGCTATCTTTTTGATTTTGCACGGACTTTTCAAACCACCCTCGTATTTAATGGATGTTCTAAAATATCTTTTAAACTTCTCTAATAAAAATTTCATGAGAATATTTAAAATAAAAGAAATCATAAATCTACAATTGATTTTCTACACTCTCCTTTCATAACTGTTGTATATACACGTTATTTTTATTTTATTATTAATAATTTATTTATCTTATTTTTAATAATTTTATACAACAATAATATTCATATATAAAATATAAGATAGGATTTCATTTTAATCAATCCCTTAAAATATTATTCAGAAGCCTTAAGTTTAAGACAAAAATATTTCAAAGAAAAGTTATAGCGAATTGAAAACATTACTTTTACATATAAAAATATTAATTTTTTGATAATAATATCTAATACTTTTATACATAAAATAATAAGACAAATCGATTGGTGTAGAGAAAGCATGTAGTTGTCTTTAAAAAAAGTATTTGCATATTGCTAATTGCATAATTATATATCTTCTTTACAAAATTATATATCTTCTTTACAAATTAATTTTTTTAATTATTTTATACAAAAAAATCCATCCATCCATCTAGCCTTAACATCTTGTCATATGTGTAATAATCATGATTGTCATCAATTATTTATCTTTGTCCAAGATTTTGTATGACTTCCTTGAACGCATGTGTCCATCAGGTCCTCTCTGCTGTTCTAATCTCTACGTTTGTTCCAAGAAGATCCTCCACAGCGTTAATGTAGCATGTTAATGCTGCACAGCTATCTATGTCTCTGGTCATTTTTCCTTGCATAAACAATCTCTCCATATTGTTCACCTAGTAACATGATTAAAAAACTTTAATATTTTTCGCTTGCATGCATAAAAATATGGTTATCAAAAAATGAATATTTTATAGATATTTTTTATTTTGTCAGAATATGCCAGAATAAAGTACAAAATATCTCGTAAAATTATTGACTTTTTGACATTTATATCTTAATATTTTTATATTTAAAATAATTAGAGGATTTATATTTACATAACAAAAATATATAATTTTATTTTAAAAAATGTTAACCATAAAAAATTTTGACAATTCAACATAATTTTGTCTTAAATTTAAGGATTCTAAAATATTCCAGTAGATTGATTAAAATAAGATACCTTGTATGTCATTAATATATTTAAAAAATAAAATAAAGACTGAGAATTGAAAACTTATAAATTTATCAAAAGAATACATATTTCATCATATAGTATCAAATTTTTATTAATCATTTTTTTTATTAATCATTTTATTTATTTTTTAGTTATATAAAAAAGCCAAAATAACAATGAAGTACTTTATAATACTGTATCTAATATACAGGAGCACATCTGGAAACTTGAAAACTAATAACTGAAATATCATAAAGGACCAATTATAACAAAAAATACATGAAAAACAAAATAGTAAAATTTCAAAAATCTACATGAAAGTGTAACTTTGAATTTTATACTTATTCAACTTCAATTTATTAAAAAATCAAATAAATCTATAAAAGAAAAATGATATTTATATCATCAAGAATATGAAGAGAACAATATATTTTATTAAAATTATTAATGGATAATAAATTATTTATTGATGCATATATAAAATATATAGTTTGAGAAAATATAATTCATTTTTTAATCGTCGTTTAAAATCATAACTCGACTTTCTTTTGTTTGGATGGATGTAAAATTGACAGACTGTTTGCAATTCTTGTCCAAGATTCAAACGATAATGATGTTAACAAATAATATTGCTTTTAAATTTCAAATTCATAAGATGTTTAATTTTTAAGATATATTATTGCAAAAAATTGAAAAATTAAATTTTGAAAGAAACGCTGTTAAAAATTTTGATGCAATTTCCGTATTAATCATTTATATTTACAGTATTTAAAAATATTGTCTGGACTATAGAAATCGATTGCCAAAATTATATATTTTCAGTTTTGTTTTGTTTTGTCCATTTTCTTTTGATACGACTTTTTTTACAACATTCCTGTATATTGACGATGATGTCGTGAAAACAGTATTTACTTTTCTTATTACAAATATTCACAGTTCTCTAGCCCAATATTAATTTAATACTTCAAATAGCAAAAAAAATACATGATTCTTATTATTAAATATTGTTATTAATAATAAATATTATTATTAATAATAAATATTATTATTAAATATTTACAGCTAAATAAATGCAATTTCAATAATTTTGATTATATTGAGCGTTATCTTAGAAGCTACTTTCCACACTTTATTGTTGAAACTTATATTTGCATTTTAAATAAACCTATTCAGATATCTTATAGATATCTATTCAGGAATCTTGTATTAGTAAAAAATTAGTAAAAAATAAATTAATCACAAAAAAGAAATCAATATTACCAATCAAAATGTAAATAAACAAGAGATAGCAGAACAGAATTATAGAACTTATAGTTTATTTCAATCTCCACATATAGTATCGATATATTGATTGCAATTACAATTTTTGGAATTTTAATATAAAATTTTAAAATTAGAAGAAATATATATTTCAAAAACTCTAATAAAAGAAAAATAAATTTTTAATTTTCTAATTTTTTAATAATTTTAAAATTCACTCTGCTATACAGGGGCATTTCATTTTAATCGAAAGGCGAATAACTTGAAAAGTGAGGAAGATAGAAAAATGGTGACTATAAAAATTGTAGGATTTGTAGGCGGACATAAGATGGTGTCATTAGTTTGACATTGAGTGACGTCGCCAAAGTCATATAAATTTTGTTTTTTTAAATGGAAAATATTTTATCATAGTATTTTAAATCTCGAGATCAGCTACAAGAATATAAAAAAAACAATACAAACAATAATCAAAAATAGGGATTTCCATTTCTTTTTTCTATTGTTTAACAATGAGCATTTATAGAAATGATTGATCATATTGTGCTTTAAAGTAATTAGAGAGATATTTCTTATATAATTTGATTCTTCTAATCTTCGAAATTATAAGAATTCATTTGTATAAACTTTATTTTCCTCAAATGATTCCAAGAATAGAAAAAGAATATATTTATTTTATATTTACCTACTGTTTAGACCGTAGACGGAGGGAAAGGGGGAGGAGTCAATGAACCCAATGAGCCCAAAAAGTTGATTTGAGGTTAACGTCCTGCATGTTTTGCACTTTGAATAGCATAGTTGTACTTTGAATAGCATATTTGCCGTTGATTGACATGCTTTTGAAATTTTTCGCACAATAGTTGTCCTAAGTGAATTCAGTTTCCCATCCTTTTGTATGGAAAACTGAAAAATATTATAATAGACCGAAATCAAATCTCTAGAGCATGAGCATTTTCGAAAGTCAAATGTGTTTAACATATTTAACTCATTTGACGTCCCACAGTCTTTGACATATTACATACACATACATGTGTTAAAGAATAAAACATGTGTTTTATCAATAGCATTAAGACTCGGTTGTTTCTCTGCAGCCATATTGAATTATGACATCAGAGGCGTGAAATGACATGTAAAAAGTTTCTTGCGCCGTTTAGCTTTGTCTTGTACTTTTCTCTTAAAAACATGATATTTTCGTATTTTTAAAACTTGTAAAAAATATCAGAAAATAAGATATCTGTCCAATAAATCACATAAATGTAAAATAAATCTTGAAATAACGATACACTGCTTAACTCAGAAATTACCAGATCACTAGATCTAGTTAGTCACTAGATCTTGTTTCTGATAGCTGAGCAGTGACCATTATTTCAAGAATTATTTTACACTTTTATGTGATTTATTGGACAGATATCTTACTTTCTGATATTTTTTACAAGTTTTAAGAATACGAAAATATCATGTTTTTAAGGGAAAAGTACAAGATAAAGCTATATGACGCAAGAAACTTTATACATGTCATTTCTCGTTTCCGATGTCACACAACCAAATGTCGCGCCGCGAGAGAATCGAGCCTTAAAATTCTTCTTTAAAAATAGATTCAAAATAAGATATCCCAGAAACGTTTTACTTTAGTTATATGACAATTACAAATGCTAAGGTAATCCGATGGACAATTTTATATCTTTAAAACAGAATAAAATTGAGTTTAAATATCTCAAGGAAATATAAATATAAAAGATGAAATAAAAATATGTCTCGATCTACGCTCAAAAAACTGATAACGAATTTGACAGCTTGCACTAGTGTACATTAAATGCAAATTTTTTTGGTACTTATATTTAATTAATACTTTCTTCCCAAGTGTTAAGAAACTTCATATTCAATTAGATTTGAATTATTGTCGTATAAGTTTTATGTTTAACTAATAAAAGTCGCGCCAATATAATCTTAAATGTATACAGGATGTCTCTAAAATCTGATCCAGACCCTATATCTGGAAACCTTTAGATATGAAAAAATGTTCAGACAAAAATTATAGGATATTAGGAGGACATATAAAAATATGGACTTGATCTTAAATGATCTTCTCAAAGTTAGATCAATGTGACCAATGTTTTCTCAAATGGAACTCTCCATTTTTTTATTGTATATTTTTGTAACCTACCTTGAGAGTTTTTTAAAACACTATTATATAAAGTATTTTTTTATTAAGTACTTTCTGTTATAAGGTTTGAATTATCAAATGCTGTGATATTGATTAAAAATCCCTCTTCTTATTTCCTCTCGAAAATATTTGAATAGTTTGAATTTATATAGAATTTCATATAGAAATTTAACACTTAAAAGCCTGCATGCTGAGGAATAGCCACGATTTCTTTTAATTATTGTTTTATAATTATAATTTATTATAATAAATGTTAATTAATTTTTAAAAACTTATCTACAACGTAGTATATACATAAAATTTTAAAAATTATATGAAAAATAAAAAAATTTTTGCAATACAAAGAAATATTACGTCGTGATCAAAAATTTTATTAATATTCTTATTGTAAAAATTGCTTAGAATTGTCTAATATCCGTCTCATATCAGTTCAGTGCTACTTTATTTTAGTGTTACTCTAAATTAATATTACACTGAAATTAATCATATTTATCTAGACCGTATTGCACTAAGTAAGTAATATTAAGATAACACCAATATGGAATCAGTGTAAATCTATCGAATTCGCTATTATATTATTGCATGTATAATCCGCTTATTGCAAATTGAATTTATGAATAGATGACACATATACCTATTCGAGAATCGAATAGAATATCGACGCATTAAACGGGAGGAAAAGTGACTTTGTATTATCCAATCGCAATACTCGTATCGTAATTACGGAAGAATTTACTGTAGACAGATTGTCAGAATGTAGAAGTAGAAAAAACCTCTGGTCATATACAAAATGATTGCTGGTATACAAAATACGTATAAAATGTTTTATTTTAAGTTTCGGATCTCTCAACCGAGTACCACACCTTTTGATGGCAACAAGATAGTATCTGCTCGTTGTGCGAATTGTTGAATAGATTCTACAAACAACTTATGTTCATATGTCGGAGAATTTCAAAATTTCGTTTTGACCCATACAAAGGCGGGAAGGAAGGGAGTGCAACTTTAAATCGCACGTAATTTCAACCGCAATTTGATTTATATCCGACGATCTCGTTTTGCGTAAACTATCGCCAGATGCTATGTGATGCAGAGAGCTGTCAGCAGGTAAGAATTCTTCTTTGAAGCTTAACTTCGTAATCTCGGATTTCTATCGGAAGTCAATGAAGAGTTTAACCCTTGGCTGTTGAAGCTCGTGAGCGAATATGCACATGTTTGCCTGCAATACATGTGTATTGATCCTTTTGGCCACGCCGGAAAATGAGGATCGTTGTGAAAACTTGCAAACGAGCTGATTTTCGTCCTATCCCTTAATTCTACTCGTGAAGTGATACTCGGTCTTACTCCCCAAAGAACCATTAAGATCTATAATTAATCCATTTGCAACGCAAGCTGACAAATAAAATTAATGGGCTAAATTCCAAAGCCTTAAAAGCATATTATAAATATTGGCACAATATCGCGTAGTAGTATAAATTTAAAATAATTAAAAGCGGAAATTAAATAATTACGCTTTAGTATTTGTTAATTAATTTATTTATTAATTATATTAATTAATATAATATAAAATTATTTCAATATTCTTAACTTTAGTAATTGATGAACTAAAGCGTAATTATTATATTAATAATTATAAAACATTTCAAAATCTTCCAATTTCGACTTTTCAAAAAAATTTTGAAATCGCTTATAATTGTTATTAACTTAAGCATTAATGTGAATTAACTTATAACAATATTATAATTTTTTATTTTAATAAATAGAATGTGAAAAGAAAAAGCCATTAAAGAAATATTTATATATTTTAAATAAATAATAATCGAAGAAAACTGTAATATAATAAAAATTTTGATAATAAAATTAAATGTGCTTTAAAAAAATCTCGCATAAATTTTCACTAGAAATTTAGCGATCATTTTATCGAGAAACAGACAGATGAGTCATATAAACGAAAATGCGAAAGTCCTGATGAGAAACGCCCTAACACAATCCAATTCTCTGTTGGGCGGAAATTGGTAGATGTTCAATCTTCCACTCGCGACAATTTTGTGCGATAGGAAGTACATACGTATGTTTCATTTATTGTCGTAGACGCGTTAGCTTCATCCTGAGTGAAAATTAGAACGTTCACGCGCGATATCGTAAATTACAACTGCTTGATACTTCGAGCACGTGAAGATTCTCATTCCGATAGAAAACGACACTCCCACGCTTCAGCAGTGCAATTTATAAAAATGACGATCAGCATGCGACTCGCCATCAAGTTTGAAAAATAAAAACTCTGTACCGTAGTTACATAAATCGTAAGCGACGATAAATCTTGAGACATTTGTGGTCGGACGTGTCCTTCCTAGATCTATGTAAAGGATCTACATAAAGGATGAGCCGCTCTGCTCGCAAAACATGTACTTTTTATTAATAAATTTATTAATAAATATAAATTGAAAAGAGAGAAAAATTATAAGTTAGTTACGAAACATCCAGAAAAAAATACAAAACAAAACAAAGATATATCGCAGACTTATTCGCATCAAAATGCAAGATAGAACTCTGTTTACAATTTAGAGCGTGTCTAAGCTGGGCGTCAGTGAAATCCGCGAGTCCGCACATGACTCCATTAGAGAATTAAAAAAACAAACAGCGGGGCAACGAGGCAGTTTTTTTTAATCGTAAAACTGCAGAATAAGGGCTCGCTTATTTGTTTGTTTTCGTATTAAATAAGAAGCGCCAAGTCGGCAATGCATTTCGCATTTTCGCAGCCTAGTTCGCAGCGGCTCACGTCGCATTTTGCAGTCGCACACAACGGCATATACCACCGTGGTGACGCAGTGTGCCGATGACGGGGGTGGCAAGACGTGGGCTTGGCAGTGGCGGACGTGCTGGTCGAGGGAAAGGACCACCCGTGCGGCAAAGAGCGACGCGGGGACGCGCGCGGGGGGGCATCGAGCGAGGACGCCTCTGCGGTCGCGGACGCGGGCGCGGGCGTCTGCATGCGTCGCTGCGGCGGCGCCGTATAGTATCGCAACCCGCCACTCACCGTCGCCTCGGCGCCACAGTCTCCATCTCCGCATGAGCCAGCCAAGGTTGAGCTCGGTCTTTCGGCGGCGTCGTTCGACTACCTCGCCTCGTCTCTAGCAAAATGGTAAGTCCAGCGAATCAGCGAAATCCGGCCACGATATCGCGTTACATTTCTATAAATCATTTCTAATAATCAGTCAGAGAGTCTGTAGAAAGATTCCCAGAAAATTGTTATACATCATCAGTGCTTTGACATTTGATTTCTTGCGGTAGAGTTCTCTAAAGATTAAAGAAGAAATAGGTTTCATCAAGGATACAAAGGATCCGTTCAAGATATCCGTTCACACGAATCACGCAGCGAAAAAGATCGCACAGACGTGCCGCAGCTACAACAAAGTGCTGCATTTGTCATCTGTTTTGCTCGTGATTGGTGAGCCGGTATATAGTCCGTATCAGACTATGGGTTGCTGACTATGCGATTTCCACGGGGTCTAATATTATCATATTGGGAGGTCCATTGTATTGTGACTGGCTGAAATAGAATCGAAATAAAATAGGAGCCGGCAAGTTCGTAATCTGATACGGATTTAATCACTTGGTCCTGTGAAAACTGAATACCGGTTGGCGGAAGTTAAATTGCGAAGAAAAATAATGGTACGTGACATGAAAACGCAGTTTCCGTTTCGTCCCTCCGCTGACACTTAATGCGACGCGCGCTAATGACAGGAAGAACAGAGAATTAGTCCATGTGTTAGTAATACGCGTTAGTTGACGGTTACGAAATTTACCGCGTGATCGCAGCACGTGACGGGAAAACATCTCGCGGCCGATATTTCCAAAGTTGTAACTCTTTTTTTAATCTTGTTTTTTATTTCGCCTCGAACGTTCATGTTTTATCCACGAATGTTGAATAACTTTATAATGTGATCGGAATTTTACTTCCAGTATGTGTTACATAACATCTTGAAACGTATATCCGCATCGATATTAGTTCATTGTTAATTGTATTGCGTTTAATTTAAAAACTGATTGCACATGCACTGATTGAACATGAATGTTGCACATACGTAACTCTTTTTAAAACTCTTTCTTGTTATAAAATAATAAGAAATATCGCATGAGCTATTGTAATTTTTACATTTTTTCACGTTTCATTCACGTTCAGTACATATGTCTAATACGTAGAAAAAATTATATCTCTATTAAATATCGAATCATCAAATAGATTCGAATAAAGCTCATTCTAAAAGATATTGCCAAAACTTTAAATAAGAAAAACAAGTTGTAAAAAATTTTCGGATTAATCCTAAAAGATTTTTGCGCAGTAGTCTCGAGTAGCATATATTTGTTAGCCTTTAAAGGATTAACTTTTAATTACGATTGCCACCTTAGAATAGTGTTTTGCTAGAGATCTCAATCACAAAAAAAATGTGGACATGTAAAGAACGATAATTTGTGACACTGACATTTATTGATATATTCAGTATCTATGTCATTTTCGTAACATTACTCTCTTCAAAAAAAGTCATCAAAATATAACATGCCACTGAAAATTTGTTTCTAAAACCGAAGAAATCTTAAATAATATAAACATGTTGAAATTTATAGTGATCGGGCAGATTTTTATTTTTGTTTGGCAGAATGTCAAAAACTCTTTCAAAAAGTTGAATTGTGAAATCCGGACGGAAACTGAAAAAGTGGAATCGGAAGCATCGGTAATTGGAAAAACAATGTTTGTTTGACATGTTAACATTTAAAATGTTATAATAATTCTATGAATTGTTAGATGGATTCTTTTATTTATTTCTAATACGAATTGAAAGACATTATTACATTTTTTTGTAAATTGTAATTGCTTTGAAATAAGTATATTTAAACATTATAATATGTAAATTATTAACGATTGATTATTAATGAACGATGCAATGGAATAACACTGATATTGGCGACAAATCAACTTTATAATGTTGTTTCTGAATTTTTAAACCATTCTATAATACTTATATTAAATAATATACTTATATTAAAAAAAGTCC